CAAATTCTACTCTACATTGTACTTTTATTATTATTATGTAAAACTTATGAATCACCTTGCAATGTAGAGTAGAATTTGCATCACGAGAGTAGGATTTTCATTTTGTATTTTCGTTGGTCATTCGGAATCCTACTCAGTCTTGTTTTTTTTAATTTTTTATGTTCTTGTTTGTGTTGATTTTTTTATAATATTTATAATATGTTTTTAGTTGCAACTGTGATACTTGTTGATTTTACACAAACAATAATTTTCTTTATTAATGTTATGACTTTACAGCATTTATGAGAGACAGCAGTCACAGCCTGAAATAGATATGCTGAAGGAATATCTACTATACTGATGACAAGTGAAATTAATACTATAGTCTTGACTTGAATCCTTGTTCAAGAAGCTCCATCTTCCCTAGCTATCTATTCCTGTTCTTCCTGATGTCAAAGTCATAATCATTGCATTATTATAATATTAATTGTTTTCTTTTAATAAAATAATTCATTAAACACTTGATAAAAGAATAATATGTAAGATTAATACCTTCTTTTAGCTGGAAACCTCCACTAAGTAATGCAATTGATTCCAAGTATAGCTAGCCTAGCTAGGTTAAAACATTGATTGCTTTCCCAGTTCTGAGATCTGAGCATGCGCGACCACGCCCAAATTTTGGAGCACATGCTTCTATAATTAACAAAATGGCGACGGGAGGTAAGTTGGCCTGATACAGCAGCCATAACGTCACTTTTTCTTATCTTGGAGAATGATTTTAGGGGACATGGATCCGTGCATACACTGTTGGAGTAGAGTGGTGTAAGAATTATACTTCTAGCACGAGTCAAGACTGAGATACAGCTCGCCAACTGAATTGCCAGGACTTTCTTGATGATGATGATGATGATGATGATGAAGATGAAAAAGGTGGCTGAACAAAACGGCCGGTTCGCCGATTTTTGGCTTTCCTCTTAGACTAGGTTTAGAGCCACGCTATTGGTACCAATGGAGTCCTCTGGTCAAGATGAGGTCCTCTAAGAAGTCTGGTAAGCATAGGAGCTCGTTTTCCCGGTATAGCAAGGCTGCAAAAGTAGTGGCAGCCATTTTGTTTGGGGGTGAATCCTACTTAGTAACGCTACCGCGTTACTAATTGAAATCAGCTCCACATTTCAATCAGCATATATATAAGTGCATGTACATGTACATGTACATGTACATATTAGTGTATCAGAAATTGTAATACAATTCTTTTCCAGTGAATTTTTCCAAAATTTGATGTTCTATAGCATAGTGTATTTTGCCAAATTATTGAGCTACATGTACATGTACATTTTCCTATAAAAGTTGTAAATAAATCCAAGTTTGATTTGAATTACATGTATCTCACACAAAATCCATTTAGATTGTAAGTACGTGTACATGTACATGTACATGTATATCTAGAGCCTGAAATTACATTGAAGCAATGTTCAGACATTATGTTATAAAAGCTTTGCTTAATTTGATCTGCCATTTTTATGAAATGGTGGGACAGTGTTTTCTACAGAATTTTGGTATAGTCCTTATGCAGCCTGTTGTCCCAGTATTTTATAATTTTCCATGATGCACATGTTCTTGTGCTGTGTAGAAAGTTTGATCTGATTCCAATCAATTTTGGTTTTAATGAATGTTCAGAGTTACTCAAAAATTGGGCCAAAGTCCTTGTACTGTAGTAAAGGGATTATGGCTAAATTCATCATAAATATGCATGTTCTTTTTTGGAGTATAACATTTGAACTCATTCTGATCAAATTTGGATTGTTTATAAATTTTGAAAGCTGCTTCAAATGCCATGTACACTTACTCTATTATAGTGCTTGAAGATAGCTCACTTTGCATACTTTTTGGGAAATGCTGTAGTAGGATATGTTATTGTGTTAAATTGCTTTTGATAAATTTAAAATTATGTTTATCAGACAAATGGTAGAACAACGCAGAATTTGGTAAAAATTCTTTTAAAATTTCAATTTTGATTAAAATAGTTGCCATACTGTACTTACTTTCATGTACATGTATTAATATTTTTTCTTACTTAAGGTTTCAAAGATATCATTAGAGTCGGTTCACTTGGGTGTGCCCATCCTCAAGTTAATTGTTATAATCTTTCTGAGCTAGTGAAAGATTCCTCCTCCATGTAAGAAATTAAGGAAATCTACAAGCAAAAAGTAAATTATTAATGATTCTCTTAATTAATAATTATATAAAATTAATTACTAATACATGTATATTCTTGCTCAAACTTTCTACTGAGCCATAAGAGCACCAGAAACTGAAATACAAATATTGTAAATTACAAAATATTAATATACTTTTATTATATCTTTTTATATGTAGTATGTTTTTATAAGTCTTGGTAGGTGCTACATGTCACAGTGTGGATCACCCTCTCTGTACCAATAAATTCTTTGATTATTGTATTGTCGATGAAGCCTCTCAGATTCCTCTCCCCCTCTCTCTCTCACTCCTCTAAGACTAGCATCTCGTTTTGTACTTGTTGGAGACTATTATTAGCTGCCACCTTTAGTGAGATTGTCAGTACTCAAGTAAGAATTATACATGAACATGTACAGTGTACATTCATGTACATGTATTTTTAGAGAGAAAGATTATGAGGAAAGTCTTTTTACATGTAAATGATTATTATCAGCTCATCCTACATTGTACATCCCTGACATCTCTCACACACCAGCATAGAATGAATCCGTACTTTCTAATTGTCAGTATTTTGATATTATTTATTTCTTATAATTAACGATATTATGGAGTTGTTCAACCATCTCATTCTTGCTTTTGTGCTTCTGTGGATGTTGCAAGGGCAACCATGTCAATACCAGGATGGAGTTCTTTAAAGATTCAATCTGATTGGTGGGCACATGCCACAGACCCAAATAACAATGTTGTGTTTCTTAATACATACAAAGTAACAAAAATCAAGCATGTCAATTAATAGTGTCTCTTTCTTCTTGCAGTTTGGTACTACATTAGAAGATAAGATATCTGATCAAAATGTGTAATTTTTTGAAGTTAATAGTTCTGATCATTATTGAGACTTTATTACAGGCACATGTACATGTGCATAATAATTGTGTGGTTGTAGGAGGAAAAACTTGTAACCTTTTAAAATTCTGTATATTATAATTGGACTTGCCACGCTTGCGTAGGTGGGTACTAAGCATTTAGGTGTCATTCTGTCCACAAAGTTCAATTGATTTTTAAAAAAGTATATTGTTTTGACTGAGCACTCCAGAACTATATTTCTTCTTCTTGCGCCAGATAAATTTGCTTTCTTTCATCTAGTGATGCTCTTATAGCATCCCATGGCACCAAAAGCTGGTACCTGTTAAACCAGGGGACTTCTCTCCAAATGAGAGCTCGTGTTTCACTCCACAAGGCCAAAATTTGCTTCAAAGGTGGAAAATTGCATATAATGAAAAATAAAAGAATGATTTTGTTCTAACTTCTTTGTTTGTGAGTTACAGTTGCTCAATGTTTGTGATTGAGCCCAGTGTGATGGCCTCCCCTGCAGTCAGCTCTACTCAATATTCCTCCATGCCAATAATCACAGCCATTTGCCTCAAACGTTAATGCCTAAAACGGTGTCATAGACTGGCTGCCCCTTCAACCCAGTACCCTGGCTTACATCGGGAGCTCGTACACCCTGAAGGTCTACCTGGAGTTACACTGAGCAGCAACGACAAGTCCTTGAGTGTGTAAGGCATATTATGTCATTTAACTTAACTAGAGGTAACACTAGTTATATGGCTTCATTAGGGTGTTGGGTACCAGGTTGGGGACCTTAGGGGTGAGGCTGACCGCCCCAATATAGTTGCAAAAGCAGTGGGCCACTAGGCCTTAATAGTATTGCTCTTGGCTGAAAGGGGGAGGTACATTGTAGGCTCTATGATATGAATGATATGCTATGATATGATATATGGTACATATGGTACATTGTAACCATATGACTACCGTATGGCTAGAAAATTTCGTGGGGTATTTAATTTCGCGGATTTCGTGGGTAACTTTTTAACCACGAAAATTAATACCATGGAAATGTTCACTGCGCATGCGCAGCATGTGAAAATCAATGACTTAATGCAAGTGCACGTGCAAAAACGCGAAATTTAACTCCCTCGAAATTAAAGAATTAAGAGCTTTTCACTAAAACACGAAAATTTATGCCCTCGAAATTTTCTAGCCATACAGTATGAAGGTGGGTGGTGAAGCATTGAGTGGTAGTAATTAGTCCTGCATGGCTTTTTCCCTAGAATATGGTTACAGCCTTGTTATGGAATCCTGAAGCCAGCCTATATAGGATCTAAGGGATTGGTGGGCCTCCCCTACTACTAATATCAGCAAATTGAGTTAACTCTCATTAGCTGTTTATTGTCACTTTGACGTCTTCTTTACACAAAGGTTGTCTTCTAGGAGGCTACTTCACTGCACCATGGCAATAATAATGCAGTCATAATTAATTTATAACTACTCCTGTTGTTCTGCTATCTATAGTGAGCTACAATCCTCAGGAGAGAGGGAAAAGAGAAGAAAGGAATCTTTTCTCTTTGTTAAAAGATGTTTCAATCCAGTCATTCCTCTGTTTTTATTCTCCTCTTGCTAGCTACTGCTGGAACTTCATTCAATTTTTGTGAATCTAGTGTAGCTTCAGCTAATGTCTCTTTACAAGTTGATTGCTATGAGTCAAAGATTCTGTTCAAATACAACTGGAAAGGAGAACATGATCTACTATTTATCCATAGCCCAAATCCAACTTGCTACCTCTCCAATGGAACAGAGGTTGGTTCCCTATGTACAGACACTTCACTCAGTTCATTCTTTTCTTTAGATTGCTGCTTTTAATTCTGAAGTGACAATCGATGCGGGACCAGGCTCTAAACTTACCTACAATGATACCATCACATTGTTCCTGCAAGGGACCCAGTTTCCACTGGAGACTGGAGCCTACTGCAACTGGATGGCATGCATGCTAGTCAGAATCAACGAGACCTTGCATTTTTACAATACTTCAGAGGAATATTCCTGCAGACTAAAAAGAGAAGGTAAGTTTAATAATGTTTATTGAAAGACTTGACCTTCTCACTCTCTCTCAGCTTCTTTATCAGTGACTATTACCAGTAGCCCGACTGATCAGTTATTGACAACAACTGATAATTATGATATACTAGCAACTACTGACACTTCAACACCAATGGAAATAATAGTAACAGCAGGATTAACAAGCCAAAAAGGGGCAACGACAAGTGGATATTACATAATCACTGAAATGACTAACGTAAAGAGCAGCTCAATGTTTCCATCAGCAGAAGGTACATACATTATATTAACTGGAATTAGAAGTACTAAGAATGGACTGAGCAGTAGTTCTAATGGAGGACAGACTCCAACCATTACTAATAACCCAATAACCAGAGGTACTGTATATTATAACAAATAATGAACTGAAATATACTTTTAATACTTTTAATAGGGCATCAGACAATTGTTACATACACACTGACTGGAGTAATGATTCTTATACTGGGGTTCAGTTTAACAGCTTTGGTTATGTCCTGCATGAGCATAAAGAGACGCAAGGAATCAAGGTAAGACAGGTTACTGTACATAAACTTATGAAGTGGGCTTTGTTTCTCCTTTGATGTGATTGTATAACATTGCTGTTCTTGAGTTTGTAGAGTATACCATCACATTATCTCCTCCTAAAGCTCTCCATACACTAGGTAAGTTTGCCTTAGGCATAATCTTGTTAGCAAAATTTGTGGTTACTTTGATCTTTTGAGCAACTTGTTGTAATAGAACTGATTTCTATTCTTAGAAACATGTTAATTACAAGATCAAAGTAACCACAAATGTTACTAGCAATATAGTGCCTAGTGTATGGAGGGCTTAAACGGTTCATAGATATAATACACAGAACAGGATTAGAAACAGGATCACGTGAGCGCATTATCCATTGAAACACTCCTAGTTTGCCGGGAACCGGTCCCATAATGGAGATGAATGGAGATATTTGTGGGACTCTCCAGACGATATCTGATAGTTTAATAACTAAATATCTACTTCTATGGTTACTTCTTAACCTCTTACAGTGCACTGTGACGTTTTTTATGGACTGCGTTTAATAGTTTTAGAGTACTGACACCATTGAAATATGGCCTTTGGTTTTGATATGCCATAACTTTCTAAAACTTCTGTGTAAGCACTAATAAATGTCTTAATGCACTAGAGATCCTCAGAGAGTAGCCATAAAAGCTCATACTAGTGCGTCTTGTCGTCTCCTGTAGTTGCTAGAGTCCCACAAACTTTTTGAAAAGGGACAGTCGGAGCCCTGGCAATAGTTGAGCAGCTGCCCGGGGCTCCGATATAACTATGAGTGTTTCAATGGATAATGCGCTCACGTGATCCTGTTTCTAATCCTGTTCCGTGTATTATATCTATGAACAGTTAAACCAACCCTCTATGGGTTAAAGGGTAAGTTCAATGCATTTTTTGAGGTATTTTTTTAATTGGCTTAATATGATTACCTGACCACACAAATGATGTGTTCCAACTCCCATTGTCTGAAAAAAATTATTCACTGAGATATGAGCATAGGCGGCTACAGAATCTTGAATTAACCAGGGCTCATTAATTATTCATAAGAATTAGGGGTGTGGCCAATTAATAAAATGACTAAAAGTCCTTATGATAGCTCACAGAACTGAGCCAGTTACCACACTAAAATAACTGTGAAGTGGAGCTGATAGCAAGTATAAACAGTTGTGGCTATAAAAAATGAATTCTAGTGATGATATCACTCCTATGCCTAATAATAACAAAACACACCTTTTGGGTGTGGTTTTGGTTGAAAACTACCAGGGCAAAGCCCTGGCTTGCCCGGGCCTATAGCCGGCGCCTATGGATATGAGCCTTCAAAAATGCCCATTTTTCCTTCCTGCCAGTTTACTTCCTGTCGGTGGGTGGAGCTAAACGTGACGTCACTAGGGGCAAGCTGCAGCTAAATCCATTCCTTTATAGGGGGAAATAATCCTTTATTCTCATGTCTAGCAATGTAATATCACTAATTTAAGCATTAGAATCATCAGCTTTCATTATTCTAAGCATGGAACTGCAAGAAAAGGACACAAAATAGCAAATAAGAAGATTCACCAAAGTGCATGTGGTATTATGACTTTTTCTTACAGTTCCATGCTTAGAATAATGAAAGCTAATGATTCTTATACTTAAATTAGTGATATTACAATACTAGGCATGAGAATAAAAGATTATTTCCCCTATAAGTACCGTATAGCTGGAAATATTTGCTGGAATTTAATTTTGCTATTCATCATCAAAACGCACAATTAATCC